AGACAACAGCCCACCTAGGAAATAATCGCGCAACACCCAAGTGTCTACGCTAGTTAAGGAAGTCACTGATTTGGCAATAGAGTTGTGGATGAGTAGAACAAACTCCCATGTACCGTCAAAGTTTTGAAAATAGGTTGGATAAATACATGAGTGGGTGTGGGTGGGTGTGAGTTGGATCTGACTAGCTTGTGCTACTAGGTCGGATGCCATGCTCCTCCCGTAAGTGAATGTGACTGACTTGACTAGGTCATGGCATTGGCTTAAGCCGTTGGGAGAATTGGACCTGCCTCACATGGGCCAGTAGGCCTGCTGTAGTGTTCCTTCTTTCGTATGTACTTATTGTAAATTTAATGAGCTAATTTTAACGTATAATCTAAGTTTCACATACACAGTCACAACACTTACCTCCCTCACACACGGTCACAACACTTACCTCCCTCACACACAGTCACAACACTTACCTCCCTCACACACAGTCACAACACTTACCTCCCTCACACACAGTCACAACACTTACCTCCTCACATACAGTCACAACACTTACCTCCTCACATACAGTCACAACACTTACCTCCTCACATACAGTCACAACACTTACCTCCCTCACACACAGTCACAACACTTACCTCCCTCACACACAGTCACAACACTTACCTCCCTCACACACAGTCACAACACTTACCTCCCTCACATACAGTCACAACACTTACCTCCCTCACATACAGTCACAACACTTACCTCCCTCACATACAGTCACAACACTTACCTCCCTCACACACAGTCACAACACTTACCTCCCTCACACACAGTCACAACACTTACCTCCCTCACATACAGTCACAACACTTACCTCCCTCACATACAGTCACAACACTTACCTCCCTCACATACAGTCACAACACTTACCTCCCTCACATACAGTCACAACACTTACCTCCCTCACATACAGTCACAACACTTACCTCCCTCACACACAGTCACAACACTTACCTCCCTCACACACAGTCACAACACTTACCTCCCTCACACACAGTCACAACACTTACCTCCCTCACACACGGTCACAACACTTACCTCCCTCACACACAGTCACAACACTTACCTCCCTCACACACAGTCACAACACTTACCTCCCTCACACACGGTCACAACACTTACCTCCCTCACACACAGTCACAACACTTACCTCCCTCACACACAGTCACAACACTTACCTCCCTCACACACGGTCACAACACTTACCTCCCTCACACACAGTCACAACACTTACCTCCCTCACACACAGTCACAACACTTACCTCCCTCACACACAGTCACAACACTTACCTCCCTCACATACAGTCACAACACTTACCTCCCTCACATACAGTCACAACACTTACCTCCCTCACACACAGTCACAACACTTACCTCCCTCACACACAGTCACAACACTTACCTCCCTCACATACAGTCACAACACTTACCTCCCTCACATACAGTCACAACACTTACCTCCCTCACATACAGTCACAACACTTACCTCCCTCACACACAGTCACAACACTTACCTCCCTCACACACAGTCACAACACTTACCTCCCTCACACACAGTCACAACACTTACCTCCCTCACACACAGTCACAACACTTACCTCCCTCACACACAGTCACAACACTTACCTCCCTCACACACAGTCACAACACTTACCTCCCTCACACACAGTCACAACACTTACCTCCCTCACACACAGTCACAACACTTACCTCCCTCACACACAGTCACAACACTTACCTCCCTCACACACAGTCACAACACTTACCTCCCTCACACACAGTCACAACACTTACCTCCCTCACACACAGTCACAACACTTACCTCCCTCACACACAGTCACACAACTTACCTCCCTCACACACAGTCACAACACTTACCTCCCTCACACACAGTCACAACACTTACCTCCCTCACACACAGTCACAACACTTACCTCCCTCACACACAGTCACAACACTTACCTCCCTCACACACAGTCACAACACTTACCTCCCTCACATACAGTCACAACACTTACCTCCCTCACATACAGTCACAACACTTACCTCCCTCACACACAGTCACAACACTTACCTCCCTCACACACAGTCACAACACTTACCTCCCTCACATACAGTCACAACACTTACCTCCCTCACATACAGTCACAACACTTACCTCCCTCACATACAGTCACAAGACTTACCTCCCTCACAGACAGTCACAACACTTACCTCCCTCACATACAGTCACAACACTTACCTCCCTCACACACAGTCACAACACTTACCTCCCTCACATACATTCACAACACTTACCTCCCTCACACACAGTCACAACACTTACCTTCCTCACACAGTCACAACACTTACCTCCCTCACATACAGTCACAACACTTACCTTCCTCACACACAGTCACAACACTTACCTCCCTCACATACAGTCACAACATTTACCTCCCTCACACACAGTCACAACACTTACCTCCCTCACACACAGTCATAACACTTACCTTCCTCACACACAGTCACAACACTTACCTCCCTCATACACACACAGTCACAACACTTACACTTACATTCCCCCACACAGTCACAACACTTACCTCTCTCACACACACAGTCACAACACTTACACTTACCTCTCTCACACACACAGTCACAACACTTACACATACATCTACCCACGCACAGTCACAACACTTACACATGCCTCCCCACGCACAGTCACAACACTTACACATGCCTCCCCACACACAGTCACAACACTTACACATACCTCCCCACACACAGTCGCAACACTTACACATATCTCCCCACACACAGTCACAACACTTATACATACCTCCCCCCACACAGTCACAACACTTACACATACCTCCCCACACACAGTCACAACACTTACACATACCTCCCCACACACAGTCACAACACTAACACATACCTCCCCACACACAGTCACAACACTTACACATACCTCCCCAAACACAGTCACAACACTAACACATACCTCCCCACACACAGTCACAACACTTACACATACCTCCCCACACACAGTCACAACACTTACACATACCTCCCCACACACAGTCACAACACTAACACATACCTCCCCACACACAGTCACAACACTTACACATACCTCCCCACACACAGTCACAACACTTACACATACCTCCCCACACACAGTCACAACACTTACACATACCTCCCCACACACAGTCACAACACTTACACATACCTCCCCACACACAGTCACAACACTTACACATACCTCCCCACACACAGTCACAACACTAACACATACCTCCCCACACACAGTCACAACACTAACACATACCTCCCCACACACAGTCACAACACTTACACATACCTCCCACACACACAGTCACAACACTTACACATACCTCCCCACACACAGTCACAACACTTACACATACCTCCCCACACACAGTCACAACACTTACACATACCTCCCCACACACAGTCACAACACTTACACATACCTCCCCACACACAGTCACAACACTAACACATACCTCCCCACACACAGTCACAACACTAACACATACCTCCCCACACACAGTCACAACACTTACACATACCTCCCCACACACACACACACACACACACACACACACACACACACACACACACACACACATACCAACATCAGTAAGTGCAAAATTGTGAAAATTGGGGAAGGACAAAAAATAAAAACAGAGAACAGAATTGGGTGACGAATGCCGGAGAAGGGTCTTGGGGTGAGCATAGTATCGAACATATCGTCTGAGGAGCATAAGTAAATATTATTTGAAGCATATGAACATTCGCAACACACTATACAATACATGTTAGGCCAATATTGAATTACATATAATTATCGAAACTCACCTGGTCAAAAATATCAGGAAACGATTTATAAGGTACAGGACCACAAGGATGTTAATCTTGGAACCGAGAGTTATAAGTTATGAGAGGAGACTAAAAGGAGCTAAACCTGACAAGACTAGAGAACAGAAGGATCACGGAAGGTAAAATGACGACAAACATAACATTCAGTAGATATTGAGTGAGTGGACAAGGCGAGGCTGTTCCAGACATGACAAAATAGTAAACTTAGTTAAAGTTTAATGTTTAGTTGAGTTACAGCAACGTCCGGAAGTATTCTTTGAAATTCAAAGTCATCAGGAAATGTACTGATAGATAACGAAGTATTAGTGTTACGATCAATACAGAGTTTAAAGGAAAGGTATAATAGAACTAAAGAGTGAAACCAACAGTGACCAGTATAACAGGCAGGGACAGGAACTTAGACTCGACTTTTGTAACCAAAAAATGAGTACAAATGAGTACAGGTAGATGAGTACTTAAACATCCCCCCCCCGTCCACAGCCACACTTACACATACAACCTACACAAAGCCACAATTACACATATAACCTACACAAAGCCACAATTACACATGTAACCTACATAAAGCCACACTTACACATGTAACCTACACAAAGCCACACTTACACATGTAACCTACACAAAGCCACACTTACACATGTAACCTACACAAAGCCACACTTACACATGTAACCTACACAAAGCCACACTTACACATGTAACCTACACAAAGCCACACTTACACATACAACCTACACAAAGCCACACTTACATATGTAACCTACACAAAGCCACACTTACATATGTAACCTACACAAAGCCACACTACATATGTAACCTACACAAAGCCACACTTACATATGTAACCTACACAAAGCCACACTTACATATGTAACCTACACAAAGCCACACTTACATATGTAACCTACACAAAGCCACACTTACATATGTAACCTACACAAAGCCACACTTACACATACAACCTACACAAAGCCACAATTACACATATAACCTACACAAAGCCACACTTACTTATGCTTCACCCGACGTGAGAACATCCTCCAATCCCATGATATTTCTTTTACTCTCAGGGTGCGTCACGTGGCTGGCCTGCGTGTTATAGACGCCTCCATCATGCCAGTGGTCACCACAGGCAACATCAACGCACCAACTATCATGATAGCAGAGAAGGCCTCAGACATGATCAAACTATATTGGGACGCTCCCATCACATTCTGAAATGTTCAGGCTGGAGGAAGCTCATCGTCTTCTCTAAAAAAGTGTCTTGACCTTTCCCATTTATAAGGTTGACTACCGCTTGTCATGTAGTCGACAGATGTGGTTTATTACAGCAGATACTTGATGAGTGGTTTAAGTTATTACAGCAGATACTTGAGTGGTTTAAGTCGTTACAGCAGATACTTGATGAGTGGTTTAAATTACAGCAGATACTTGATGAGTGGTTTAAGTCATTACAGCAGATACTTGATGAGTGGTTTAAGTTATTACAGCAGATACTGATGAGTGGTTTAAGTCATTACAGCAGATACTTGATGAGTGGTTTAAGTTATTACAGCAGATACTTGATGAGGTTTAAGTCATTACAGCAGATACTTGATGAGTGGTTTAAGTAATTACAGCAGATACTTGATGAGTGGTTTAAGTTATTACAGCAGATACTTGATGAGTGGTTTAAGTCATTACAGCAGATACTTGATGAGTGGTTTAAGTCATTACAGCAGATACTTGATGAGTGGTTTAAATTACAGCAGATACTTGATGAGTGGTTTAAGTCATTATAGCAGATACTTGAGTGGTTTAAGTCATTACAGCAGATACTTGAGTGGTTTAAGTTATTACAGCAGATACTTGATGAGTGGTTTAAGTCATTACAGCAGTTACATGATGAGTGGTTTAAGTCATTACAGCAGATACTTGATGAGTGGTTTAAGTCATTACAGCAGATACTTGATGAGTGGTTTAAGTCATTACAGCAGATACTTGATGAGTGGTTTAAGTTATTACAGCAGATACTTGATGATGGTTTAAGACATTACAGCAGTATACTTGATGATGGTTTAAATATTACAGCAATACTTGATGAGTGTTAAGTTATACAGCAGATACTTGAACGAGTGGTTTAAGTTATTACAGCAGATACTTGATGAGTGGTTTAAGTCATAACAGCAGATACTTGATGAGTGGTTTAAGTCATTACAGCAGATATTTGAGTGGTTTAAGTCATTACAGCAGATACTTGATGAGTGGTTTAAGTCATTACAGCAGATACTTGATGAGTGGTTTAAGTCATTACAGCAGATACTTGATGAGTGGTTTAAGTCATTACAGCAGATACATTGATGAGTGGTTAAGTCATTACAGCAGATACTTGATGAGTGGTTTAAGTTATTACAGCAGATACTTGATGATGTGTTTAAGTTATTACAGCAGATACTGATGATGGTTTAAGTCATTACAGCAGATACTTGATGAGTGGTTTAAGTTATTACAGCAGATACTTGATGAGTGGTTAAGTTATTACAGCAGATACTTGACGAGTGTTTAAATTACAGCAGATACTGATGAGTGGTTTAAGTTATTACAGCAGATACTTGATGATGGTTTAAGTTATACAGCAGATACTTGAGTGGTTTCAAGTCATTACAGCAGATACTTGATGAGTGGTTTAAGTCATTACAGCAGATACTTGATGAGTGGTTTAAGTCATTACAGCAGATACTTGAGTGGTTTAAGTCATTACAGCAGATACTTGAGTGGTTTAAGTCATTACAGCAGATACTTGATGAGTGGTTTAAGTCATTACAGCAGATACTTGATGAGTGGTTTAAGTTATTACAGCAGATACTTGATGAGTGGTTAAGTTATTACAGCAGATACTTGATGAGTGGTTTAAGTTATTACAGCAGATACTTGATGAGTGGTTTAAGTTATTACAGCAGATACTTGACGAGTGGTTTAAATTACAGCAGATACTTGATGAGTGGTTTAAGTCATTACAGCAGATACTGATGAGGGGTTTTTAAGTATTACAGCAGATACTTGAGGTTGTTAAGTCATTACAGCAATATTTGAGTGGCTTGACAAAGTAGCGGGTATATCTGCCCAACTGAGGCAGAAGACCCATGGTAAGTCAACTGGGCCTCGGTTGATGCAAAAGCTGCCCATTTAGTTAACATATTCTGCAGGGGCCCCTCATGGAGAAGTTACAAAATCAATTAAATATGCACCTTCAGTAGCCTCCCTTTTATTAATACTCAAGTGATACATAACTAATAACTGATTTTCAAGTAAATGCTGGAATACTCTCATCTGTTACCACAAAAAATAAAATCTATCACTGCTGTTTGTGTCAATAGTATATGTTAAATTATGTTTGTGAAGCCTCAGTTAAGTTGATAAACAAGAGGAGTCACCTCCTGCACCCTTTATAATGAATCATTTTATTAAAAACCAAAATAAACCTTCCATCCAACAGGTCACCTTCATCTACACTTTATATGACTTACAATTACTGAAGAGTTGTTTTTTTCATACTTTATCCCTAAATTTTTCAAGCTCTTTGATGTTTGAGATGATGAATAACTGGGTTCCAGTGGCATCAACAAGAACACTGTGGCATCAACAAGAACACTAACTGTGGCATCAACAAGAACACCAACTGTGGCATCAACAAGAACACCAACCGTGGCACCAACAAGAACACCAACCGTGGCATCAACAAGAACACCAACCGTGGCATCAACAAGAACACCAACCGTGGCACCAACAAGAACACCAACCGTGGCACCAACAAGAACACCAACCGTGGCACCAACAAGAACACCAGCTGTGGCACCAAAAAGAACACCAACCGTGGCATCAACAAGAACACCAACCGTGGCATCAACAAGAACACCAACCGTGGCATCAACAAGAACACCAACCGTGGCATCAACAAGAACACCAACCGTGGCATCAACAGACCTCAATTGTCATTTCTGAAACTTAAGGTTTTTCTACTTTGTATGAGAGAAACTAAACATTAGAACTATATAATAAAATTTTTTTTTTTAAAAATAATACAAAACATGTACGAATTAATGTTCTCTGTTATGTAAAGGAAACAATAATGTTCTCTGGAACATTTTGTTATGTAATAAAGTTGGTAGAATTACCGACAATATGTAAAGTAAAAGGACACAAGTGCAACTAATGTGACATTTATTGTGACAACGTTTCGCTCTCCAGGAGCTTTATCAAGCCATTACCTTTATCAAGCCATTAATGGCTTAATAAAGCTCCTGGAGAGCGAAACGTTGCCACAATAAATGTCACATTAGTTGCACTTGTGTCCTTTTACTTTACAACATTTCATTAGAAAATGTTAACTTGAGTAGATATATAAATATCATTATTTTTATTGTTATTACCACTATATTTATGTAATAACAAAATAACGATAATGAAACAACAATGAAATTCCAAAAGCTTTCGTAATTTTTCAAGACAGATCCCAGAATTTCATTTGGGTTTCTTGCAATGTTGTGATATCGCTTGTTTACTGTGATCTTCTTCCATACACACTCAAAATAAATTCTTAAATTCTTCCTAAAATTTGGGAAGAATTTAAGATACATTGTACAAGTAAAAAAATTAATGCTTGGGAAGAGTATCAATTGTGTTTTGCAGAGTCATGTGTTGTGATGTGACTGTGAGGTGTAGTCTTGTTGTTGTGACGTGACTGTGAGGTGTAGTCTTGTTGTGATGTGACTGTGAGGTGTAGTCTTATTGTTGTGATGTGACTGTGAGGTGTAGTCTTGTTGTTGTGATGTGACTGTGAGGTGTAGTCTTGTTGTTGTGACGTGACTGTGAGGTGTCGTCTTGTTGTTGTGGCGTGACTGTGAGGTGTAGTCTTGTTGTGATGTGACTGTGAGGTGTAGTCTTGTTGTGATGTGACTGTGAGGTGTAGTCTTGTTGTTGTGGCGTGACTGTGAGGTGTAGTCTTGTTGTTGTGATGTGACTGTGAGGTGTAGTCTTGTTGTTGTGACGTGACTGTGAGGTGTAGTCTTGTTGTTGTGGCGTGACTGTGAGGTGTAGTCTTGTTGCGGTGATGTGGCTGTGAGGTGTAGTCTTGTTGTTGTAACGTGACTGTGAGGTGAAGTCTTGTTGTTGTAACGTGACTGTGAGGTGTAGTCTTGTTGTTGTGATGTGACTGTGAGGTATAGTCTTGTTGTTGTAACGTGACTGTGAGGTGAAGTCTTGTTGTTGTGACGTGACTGTGAGGTGTAGTCTTGTTGTTGTGGCGTGACTGTGAGGTGTAGTCTTGTTGCGGTGATGTGGCTGTGAGGTGTAGTCTTGTTGTTGTAACGTGACTGTCAGGTGTAGTCTTGTTGTTGTGACGTGACTGTGAGGTGTAGTCTTGTTGTTGTAACGTGACTGTGAGGTGTAGTCTTGTTGCGGTGATGTGGCTGTGAGGTGTAGTCTTGTTGTTGTAACGTGACTGTCAGGTGTAGTCTTGTTGTTGTGACGTGACTGTCAGGTGTAGTCTTGTTGTTGTAACGTGACTGTGAGGTGTAGTCTTGTTGTTGTGACGTGACTGTGAGGTGTAGTCTTGTTGTTGTGACGTGACTGTGAGGTGTAGTCTTGTTGTTGTGACGTGACTGTGAGGTGTAGTCTGTTGTTGTGAACGTGACTGTGAGGTGTAGTCTGTTGTTGTAACGTGACTGTGAGGTGTAGTCTTGTTGTTGTGAACGTGACTGTGAGGTGTAGTCGTGTTGTTGTAACGTGACTGTGAGGTGTAGTCTTGTTGTTGGAACGTGACTGTGATGTGTAGTTTTGTTGTTGGAACGTGACTGTGAGGTGTAGTCTTGTTGTTGTAACGTGACTGTGAGGTGTAGTCTTGTTGTTGTGACGTGACTGTGAGGTGTAGCCTTGTTGTGACGTGACTGTGAGCTGAAGTCTTGTTGTTTTAACGTGACTGTGAGGTGTAGTCTTTGTTGTGACGTGACTGTGAGTGAGCTTGTTGTTGACGTGACTGTGAGGTGTAAGTCTTGTTGTTGTGACGTGACTGTGAGGTGTAGTCTTGTTGTTGTGACGTGACTGTGAGGTGTAGTCTTGTTGTGACGTGACTGTGAGGTGTAGTCTTGTTGTGACGTGACTGTGAGGTGTAGTCTTGTTGTTGTGACGTGACTGTGAGGTGTAGTCTTGTTGTGACGTGACTGTGAGGTGTAGTCTTGTTG